GCCCACATGTCTGGCTTTATACCCACCTGGCTGCTGAACCCCACCCTCAGGTCCCAGCCACCTTCCCTTGGGTGGTGATGGGATTTGGAGTTCCCAGTGGCTTTGGCTTTGGCCTGGGGTGGGGGTGGTGTCCACAAAGCCTGTATGGGATTAGCTTTAGGACAGCCTTTTCCCCCTAACACTCCGACGCTATGGCAGTGGCTGGGGAAGGAAACGCAGCGCGAGAGAGGGAAGGGGCTCAGTCACAGGAAGCAAGGTGTCCTCACCAGGAGATTTAAACTAGGCTAGAATTGTGTGTGAACTGCAGGCGCTAATCCCTGCTCTCCTCCACGGGGGCTTAAAATTATGTGTGTGTAACAGATAGAGGATTTAGTGTAGCCAGAATTCTCTGGAAGAATTCTCTCTCTCTCTCTCTCTCTCTCTCTCTCTCTCTCTCTCTCACACACACACACACACACACACACACACACACACACTCCAGTCATGCAGTAGTTTAGTTCTGCAACAACCGGTAGGAGGCTCCCCATGATCTTTGACCCACAGGAGGAGGGAGAGCCGGGTTGCTCACGCCCTCTGGGGTCTGAAGCGGGTGAGTGTGGAAGGGGAAGGTCTAACGCATGGTACTGCGGGGTTTCTGGAAGACACAAGCCAAGGTTTCCATATTTTCAAAATCATTGTCCGTCACTTCATGCTTCTTCGAATGCAGCGCCTCGCAGGGCTGACTCACGTGAGGCTCCGGCTTGTATGTGGCTCCAGGTGTTTCTTCTAGAATCGCCTGAACCGTTCATCTCGGGAAGCAGAGATTCTCGTAGGCCCCTCTGGGTGTCCCTACTGTGCCTCCCTGGTCCTTCCAGGTGTCCCTGGTCCTTCCAGGCCCTTCCTGGGGATTCAGTGGTGCCTCCCTCTCCCCTTCCCACAAGCACCCCTCCTCGGGGTCTGTGCACGCGGGTTTCAGGCGCGAGACCCCCACACCAGAGGACGGGAGAGAGAGGGCATTTCCCAACGAGGGTTACCTGCCGATCTGGCCTGGTGTGCGGGGGGAGAGCAGCAGAGGATGGCGAGTTGGCTCAGAGACGAAGGCAGCGCTGGGCATGCAGGAGGGGGTCAGGACGCGCCCGCCGACAGCTGCCCTTCCAGCCCCTCACCTTTCATCTGATAACGCCGCTGGGCCCGAAGTCTGCGGGGCGCATCCTCAGGGGGGTCCTCAAGTGAGGGGCGCCCTGCTTCTCCCCGCAGCCAAGCCCCAGGAGGCCCTTCTCTGCGAGGGTCCTCTGCTGAGGATGAAACAAGAAACACCGCAGGGTGAGGGTTTGCACATTTGTGTCCTACTCCTGCCTCAAGGAACAGCCCGGGGAGCAGTTCCTAAGCGTGACTGGACGTGCTAAGTAAAACTGATACGTTTTAAAAAATAATAAGTAATGATGTAAAAACATATAAATAGGTCTGGAAGTTCCGGCGCCTCCGCTAGCGCTGGGGCGCCCCGAGAAACCTCCGCACCCTCATCCACAGGGTCTGTTCCGACTGTCATGGCCACCAGCCGCGGGCTGCCGGCCCTGAGATGAGAAATGTTCCCTCAGAAGGGACGGTGTCATTTGAAGACGTGGCTGTGAACTTCCCCTGGGAGGAGCGGCAGTGCCTGGGTGAAGCTCAGAGGACCCTGTACCGGGATGTGATGCTGGAGGCCTGCAGTCACCTGGTGTCCCTAGGGCATTGTGTTCCCGATCCTGAGGAGAGCATCAGGTCGGAGCAGGGAGTCCAGCCGTGGTCTGTGGACGATCCCCCAAGCCGGGACCTCTCAGGTCACAACCTCAGGAGATTGTTTAAGCGTGATATGAAACCGCTGCCATCCATGGAGGGCCTGGAAAGATCTTAGAATATTGTCCTATGTCCTTGGGCAGCTTCTAGGAGCAAGGAAGGCAAACAGAGTGTATACTGATGGGAGAAGAGACGGTGGTACTAGAAGACACTTACGAGCTAAGAAATATCTGGAGGATATGGAGAGATAAATCACTGCGCCTTCCAAGATGATTCTGAACAACCACACAAACTATTCTTTAATGCCCAGAAATGTATGGCTTCTTCTACTTAATCCATTTCTTCTATACAACGTGAAGAAAACAAGTGCACAGGATAGACTAAGGTCATGGACTACAGGTGCTTTGCTGGTTTCTAAATTCCTGCTATGAGTGAGACCATCCAGTGCTTTTCGTCTTCTTTCTGGCTTATTTCGCTGAGCATGATCCCTTCCAGCGCCATCCATGTTGCTGCAAATGGCATGAGTTTGTCTTTTTTGAATGCTGAGTGATATTCCATGGTGTATATGGACCACATCTTCTTGATCCAGTCATCTATTTTTGGGCATTTGGGCTGTTTCCAAAGCTTAGCTATTGTAAACAGTGCTGCTGTAAACATAGGGATGCAGGTGTTCTTTGGAATGGATGTTTCTGTGTCCTTTGGGTAAATACCTAGGAGTGGAATTGCTGGATCATATGGAAGCTCTATGTTTAGTAGGTCCAGAAATCTCCACACAGCTCTCCATAGTGGTTGGACCAGTTTGCACTCCCACCAACAGTGCAGAAGAGTTCCTTTTTCTCCACACCCTCGCCAACATTTGTTGTTGCTAGTTTTTTTAATATGGGCCATTCTCACTGGTGTGAGATGGTATCTCATGGTAGTTTTGATTTGCATTTCCCTGATGGCAAGTGATGCTGAACATTTTTTCATATGCCTGTTGGCCATTTGCATTTCCTCTTTGGAGAAGTTCCCTTTTATCTCTTCTGCCCATTTTGTGACTGGATTATTTACTTTGTTTTTTTGAGTCTCTTCAGCTCGCTAAGAGCATTCATTATTCTATGAGGACATCAGAAGTCTGCATACTTAAATCTCTAGAAACTTCTAAATATTGATTTTACACACGATCATCACCAAAGAAATCTTTCAGGATCAGTACAATCCTGATTACTTTCTGAACTGTGTAGGTTTTTCTTCTGATTCATCAATGAAAAATACTTTAGACTTGAAAAATCCCCATACTTTGCCCCCTCTTGTCACCGATGAAGACTTGGAGGTGCTGCTGAAAGCCATCTTCCCTCAGCGCCCAGGGGCCCTCGGAGGAGACAGTGATGATCACTGAGGGAAGGGAAGGGCAGCCGTAGTCTCTTCTGACTTGCTGGAGAAGCAGCTGTCAGTAGTTCTCCTGAAGCCTCCTAATAAAGGTTAAAGGCTCCATTTAACTAAGCCTCTGGCGGGGCCTCCAGGATGGCCTAGGGGTTGGTCTCAGCGCTCTCACCGCTGCGGCCTGAGTTCAAGCCCCGGCCAGGGAGCTACCCGCAAGGAGCGTGGGAGTTAGCCCCCAGAAGGGGGCATGGAGCCAGAGCGCATGTGGTGCAGCAGAAGGTCTCTTCTCTCTGTGCCTGCTGCTCCACTATGCTCTGTGCTTCAGATCCGGCCCCGCCCCTCCTCCCCCCGCCCCGCCCCGCCCCTCCTCCGGCCCCGCCCCTCCTCCCCGGCCCCGCCCCTCCTCCCCGGCCCCGCCCCTCCTCCCCGGCCCCGCCCCTCCCCCGCCCTCCTCCCCCCCCTCCTCCCCGGCCCCGCCCCTCCTCCCCGGCCCCGCCCCTCCTCCCCGGCCCCGCCCCTCCTCCCCGGCCCCGCCCTTCCACAAGTCTTCCCAATAAAAATCTGACACCTAGGGGAAAAAAAAAAATATAAATAAATTATTTTAAAAACTGCTCCGGGTGAAAACCCTTTTGTTAAAACCCTTTTGTTGGGTCCTCCGGGCTGTGAGCTCCAGGCTTGGGTTTCTGTGACGAAATGGAATCTTTGCCCTTTCTGGTCTTTTTGGTCTCTAAATTCCAAGAGTTGTATTTTATGAACTTTTTGTTTTTGTTTAAAAATAAAGTGCGTGTGGGGCTGGGGCGTGCGGGGAGAGGGAACAGCAGCACCCACCGCCAAGGCCGCTTGGACGAAGCGTGTTCCCCCAGGCACCAAAGAGTGCACTAAAATTTGTGGCCATTTTTGATGCACTTGCCAATGTTTGTGTTATTTTTACTTTAAAGCTGTAACAGATTGCTCCAAAATAAACAATTGGAGCTGAATGTTTCAAGAGAATCCAAGTGCTGCGTCTCTGGCTTCTGGCTTCCCTTCTGGGACCAAGCGGGCCCAGAGGAGCGACCCTCCTTCCTGCAGAGTCTTCCACGTGGAGGCTGGTTTTCTTGCTTTGTTTGTCAAAGTTGCATCTATTTCTGGCCATTCTGTTCCAATGTCATAGGTTCTGTGAGTGTTCAGCGCAGGAAAGCGCAGGAACAGGAACAAAGAAAATCAACTCTATGGCATCTAGATTCTTGATCTCGTGGGAGGAGGGTTTGTTGTTTTTATTTAAAGATTTATTTTTTTGTGCATGCAAGAGCTGAGGTCCAGGCCAGAGGTGTGGGGGGTGAGGGGATCCACCAGAGACAGAGTAGGGAGCAGAACAGGCAGATCCACTGAAATCCACTGCTGAGGGGAGCAGCGGGGAGACAGGAGAGGTCTGCTGCACCATGTGGGTTGCTCCCTGGCCGGTTAGCTTCATAGTGCTGTGCTTAACCCCTTGAGCCACCAGGTGAGGCCCGGGAGGAGGGTTTGGAAGAGGCATAGGGGGAGCTCTGAGTGAGGATGGAACCCAAACCCCCCACCCCACCACTGCTTTGTATTTGGACATCAAGCCACGAAAAGTGTGAGAAACTTTGCACACAATGTCCTGAGTGTTGCTTCAGACGTGACATTAAATCCTCCCCAAACGACCCACCCTCAATCAAATGTTGGACTTGCCTCTGGATGGTTGTTTGTCTATATGATCTTATCAAAGACAAGAAACATCTAGGGTGAAAAAAATCAAAAGCAAATGTGCATGCTGTTCTGTGCTTTCTAAATGAGCGTGAATGTCTTTGATCATAGAGAGCAATGAGTAAACTTGAAAACCATCAGGATAATGCACTGACCCCTGTGTGCTCTCCTCGGCCCAGGCCGCCACTGTGAGGTACATCAGATGACGGGGAACTACATGTGGGACCCCGACACCAACAAGTCATTTGACATCGGTGTCAACAGAGACAGCCTGATGCCGCTCTGGTGGAACGGGTCGGAACCGCTGTGGATCACCCTGACCAAGGCCAGGAGGAAGGTCTACATGTACTACTGGCCAGGTGAGTGCTGCGGCGCAGAGCTCCGTGGTCTCTGAAGCCACAGGATGGGGAAGTCCTGCTGGGAGACTCAAGCCAGGGCATGCAAAGTGGAATCTTTTTTCGAGAACTTTGTCTTAGACCAAATACATGGTGCCATCCCCCCAATTCCCTGGTTCAGCGACATCTCTGCCATCTAGCATGCAAAATCATGGCTCGGGGGGAGAGATCCTAAATGCAAAATCATGGCTCGGGGGAGAGGTGCTGGATCCCACGTGCAAAACCTGGAATCCATAGGAGAGGCCAACAAAGAGGTTGTTTATTTGCCTTCCTATAGATATTTGAGCTCCCCAACAATACTGAAAAGAGTATGCCAACCACCCACACTTCTGGGAAGTGTATCAAAGGGAGCTCCTGTATTAGCGTTCCTCCTGTGCACCCTCGATCAGTGGGACACTGAATTACCTCTTGCAGTGAGGTGAGTATTGCACATACTCCCCTGGCTGCCAGGGAGGTGCTCAGGACACTCAGGTTGGTCATGGCAAATCTCTCCTCAGGATGCGAGGATTCCTTGATAACAAATGAATTGACACACCATTGTCTTCCTGGGGGTGGGTTTCACTCTCTAGGTAAGTGGGTGACTTGGCTTTTCCGTGAGTGTGACTGTAGACACTTTTCCCGAATTCTTAGTGGTATAACAGGATGATGGTCCCTAGGGAAGAAGACAGCAGGCCAGGCCTGGGAGAAATGGACTGATACGCAGGGAGCAGCTGCTGAGGTCACCCCCCCTGCCTGGCTTAGAGGGCAGCAGCCTGCTAGGATGGTGAGCGCACCGGGTTGTGGCCCACGGGCGCGGGGGGAGTGGAGACGATGACTCAGCCGTGGCTGAATCACAGGCGGCCTCACCAGGAACATGGGCTTCGGCAGGGCTCGGAGGAGGCTGGTGGGAGGTGGTCATGTGGAGTTGCCCAGGGCCCGGAGGCTCTGCCAGCTCTCGGAGGGGCACAGAACTCAGGCAGATGGAAAGCAGCCCCACAGCCCCGCTGCTGTCAGTGCCACGAAGACTGCCGCAGAGCAGAGACTGGCGTCCAGGGTGCACTGGGGAAGGCCAGAGCAGGGTGCGTACATTCAAAACTGGGTGCAAAAGCAGAAGGCCCAGGCCAGCCCTATGGCAGCTACAGTTTCTGGGGACCGGGAGAGTTCCTCAGACACACCTGGGATTCTCTCCATGGCAACCGTCCTGCTGACGCAATGAGAAGCAACTTTCAAGCAAGGTAGGGAGAGCCCATTACTGCCCGTGGAGACTCAGCTCACGGAGCCAGCAGCACAGGAGGTCAGAAACCAGCGGGCCCTGCAGCCAAACTCATCGGCTCCCTGGGGGCCGGACTCAGCGCCCAGCCCTACGTGCCGAGGGCCGCAGCTGGAAGGGGCTGCTGGCCGAGTTTGTCCTCAGAAGCCTTGTCATGACACAGCAAGGACAGTCCGGGACACAAGCGGGTCGGGCAGGCTGCCTGAGGGCCCCGTGAAATAAACCTCAGACCCGTCCAGATGAATATTGCCCCCTTGGGGTCCGGCTTTCACGGCAGCCGCCTAGTTTAACTTTGTGCTTGGAGTTCGCGCTCTTCCGGCCCGGGAGCCCTCCCTCCTCATCTCTCCAGCCCCCCACGGCCCTTCTCCGCACGTGACTTCCTGCCACCGACCTTTGGATGCCACAGGTGCTCTAGCGAGGTGGGGAGATCCTGAAGGAGGTGGCGTCACCGTCAGGCCTTTCCCCGCGGCTTTACAGAACGCTATTCTCTGATTCATCCCAGGGCTTCTGGCTCCCCAAGGCTAACAAACAGCTTGAATTGGGCCTCCCCAGTGGTGCAGGAGTTCAAGTCTCAGCACTGCCAAGCTAGCGGCAGCCACTGCAGCACGAGTTCAATCCCTGGCCAGGGAGCTACCCACAGGGCGCAGCAGACCTCTCCTGCCTCCCCGCTGCTCCCCTCAGCAGTGTATTTCAGTAGATCTGCTTATTCTGCTCCCCACTCTGTCTCTGGTGAATCCCCTCACTTCTCCTCACTTCTGGCTTGCACCTCAGTTCTTGCATGTATGCATCAATAAAAATAAATCTTTAAAAAAACAGCTTGAATTTATATAGCACTGATGGTCAAAACAGCCTCAAGGCTAATTTGCACATAAAGTATCTTCAGCTCCTTCAAGGCAGCTCCTGGAAGGCCAGACCGGGCCAGTGTCTTCCTTGGTTCACAGCTCAACAGCCGACCTGGCGGGGCAGGAGCACCTTGAGGTCAGTGCGCAATGCTAAGTATGGGAGGCAAGATGCTGAAAAGACACCGCCCAGAGTTTCCTCTGGCCTGCGTGGAGACCAGCTGAAGCGCAGAGCTGAGCCTCGACGGCGTTTGGCTGAGGCGTCCACGCTTCTCAGATACTGTCCAGTCCTGCTGAACTGGATGCATGAATAAAGCTCCCCGTAATTTCCAGATGGCCCTGTCCCCAAGCCCGGGTAGGGGTGCTCTGGCATCTCGCATTCTTGCTGGTTGTCAGCTGAAGCATTGTGCTCACCGTCCTCCCCCGCAGCCAGCTAACAGCCCAGTGCCCTGCGGTGCCATCCCCTCTAGACATGACTTGATTTGATTTTCTTCTCCAACCCTCCTCTGCCTCCTCCTCCCTCCACAGGACATTGTACAGACCTTTCCTCGAGGCCTGGAAAATCTTCATTGCTCCAGTGAGCTGTGTTATGACACTTTGAGTCTCGCCATTAAGTCAATATTTAGAAGTGCAATTTAGAAATGGCAGTAGTTCAAGTCTTCCTGTCAGGTAGATAAAGCAGCAGACTGAAAAATTGATCAGTGGTGAAGAGTCCAAAATACTCTACCTCAAGTCTCGAGAAATTTAATATTGTAAACAGATCCTTTATGACCCACACCCGATGGTGCCATGGAGCTTTCTGAGAACTGTGCCTCGGGAAGGAGCTCAGGTCCTAAAATCAAGTCTTCCCCTGGAAGACCCAGGGAAATCAGCCAGAGGTGCATATCAGGGACCTGGAAGGTTCTGCAGAGCAGGTGAACCGCCAGCGCCTTCTGCCAGCACCTCCCTCTCTCCAGCTCTGTGTTTTAAAGTCAATGGACTTTTGTTGAGGGGGGAAGGGAAGAAACTCTAGCATTGACTTTTTATTGAGAGCCACCCAAAGCACAGAAGGACCCCTGGAGGGCTGGGAGGGTGAGGGAGTGTCTGGAGATTGAGTTTGAGCCCCCTGTTTTTAAGTTTATTCTTATGGCTATCAGGAAGGACAAAAAGGAGCAAAACTAGCAACCTTTTGGGGGGTCTGTGCTTCAAACTCTTGGGAGTGTTCGAAGATTCTGTGTCTCATCTTTTATCACCAAACTGCAGAGCTAGCTCCGGAAGCCACAAACCGGGGAATTAGGCAGCACCCCAGGCCCAGGACAGGGCTCTTCCCTTGAGTATCTCGTTCAGGGGTTCTGGTGCATCACACGTCTGCAAGTGGGGAAAGACACAACCGCCCCTCAGTTCCTCTCTCCTGCTTTCCAGAGGTGGGCTCAGTGGGGAGCTGACTCAGCTTCTATCAAGTTTTGGTTGTTACAGTGAAAGTGATTTCACCTGGACAAGGAATCCACCACACACCGGCAACTGCTTAACATTATGGATCATCCACAACATCTTCCGCTTCTCCCAGGGTGCACCGCTGCCAACCTGGCTGAGCTGAGCTCTGACGCCGCCACTCAGGCATGGGGACACTAGCTGCCCAGCGACACGTGTGAGTCCGCAGCAGGGCCGGCCTTCACCGCCTCTGTGGGCAGGACACCAAACATCTGCATGAACACTGGAAATATTTTTTCCAGCACATATTTGACATTGCAAATACAAGCATCTGGATTTTCCCTACATTTTCCAATAATGTCACCAATTTGATTTCAAGAAATGTGTCATCTTAGGACCAGAAGAGGCCTTAGTCAGTATGTAGTTTGCTGGTTCCCACCCTGAGCCAAGAGCATCCTTAGGAGACCAGCCACAACTATGATCCCTTTCCAAAAAAATACACCCGCATGTACTACACCCACAATTGCTCACATCAAACAAAAGAAAAATGATGACGACTGCCAAGGGGTCTTTGAGGGACAATGCGTGTTCCTGTGATCTCAAATCGACTTGATTTTTTTTTTTGATGGAAACTGTTACAAACTCACCCACGTATCCACCAAAGCTCTTGTAATTGACGCTGTCGGTTAAGAGTGGGCTTGGGCAGAATTCTCCAGGACTCTGGGTTGAATTCAACTTGAGTCATTTCCTTTGTTTGCCGGCAATTTGGCAAGGCTGAATCACGGATGGTGTCTGGGCCAGCGAGGGAAAGATTATAAATTCACTTCTCAAGTATGAGGTTGTCTCAAAGAAAATGATCTTCAAAAGCGTTTGCAGGGTTTCCAGGTGCAGTGCCGTGGAGGGGGTGTGGCCTCTCTGGATGGCTGCTTGCAGAAGCCATGCCCCTCCGTCCCACTTTGGTGTCTAGAACCTTCCATGCTTCTCCCATCCCCTCCCGGACCTTCACGCAGGCTGTCCCTTCCATCCACTGCTTGCAGAAGCAATTCTTGCAGCGTTGGGAAATTCTCCTGGGTGTCCAACCCCAGCCTGCCTCCTTTTGCAGGATGGTGTCGTAGCCCAAAGAGCCTCTCAGCCCTTAGGCTAGTTCGAAGGCCTTCCCGCCAAAGAGAAATCCCGGGTGAACTTTCATTCTTCCTAGATAATGCAAATCTATTTCTTCATAAAACATCTTAAAGGGTGGGACTCACGGGGTGAAGACAGTAAAGGAAGCCGAGCTCGTAGTGACCTCGTCCAGTGAGGGGTCTGGTCTTCTGGAAAAGGAGCTGCCCCGAGGGAATGGGCCGGGGCGAAGGGAAGGAGAGAGGCTCTGATGTTCCAAGAACCTGCAAGAGGCGAGGATGGACGCGGCGTGGGCGAGGCGGACAGCGTCTAGGGCCCAGCGGAGGAGTGTTTCTATTGGGTTTCAA